TCCTGCTGTCTTTGATGCCTTGCCTCATTTGTCCCTACAACAGTTCCAGTAGACACAAAACTTATTGTGGAGGTCCTTGGCCCACTTAGAAGATGCTTCAGGACATCTGAGTGAGAAAAGCAGAAAACCGCTAGTCTGAAAGGAAGTGTTCTGAAGATGGATGCTCTGACAAGAGCATCAGAGAGACAAAGAAGCACAGGCTACTCCCTCAGCTATTTGCAAAAATATTGTCTTCATTCCTTTTTATTATTACCTAGAGTTCCAGCTTGCTGGCATGGAGAACAGCTTGCTGATGTAATAAACTCAAGCAGCTCATAATTCATGTTTACTTTTAATCCTATGCCTGGTTCTGTTTCTGAGAACATGCACCCTCGTTCATCTTATATCTAGTTATGCATTCCTAAGAACACCACACCTTTGTTCATTCCCCCTAACAAAATTGTTAACAGTGGCCACTTCACCTTTTGAATAGAGCTCTGAGGCTTATTTTTAAAAGGGACATATTTTTTTTTTCCTTTCTCCCTCTCCCTCTCCCTAACCTGGGGGTAGGAAACAAGATTACCTGGAATTATCAGTGTTCCACAGGAAGGAGTTGTCTGCCAGAGGATCCAGGAAGTGAATATCTCCCCAAATTAACAAATGAATCCTAATACACTATCAGCATGCCCTGAGACCTCTGTCAGGGCACACCTGGATAGTAGCCTTTGAATAGCTCCTTTAAAAGCCCTCTGTTTTCCCTGATGGGCAGAATCACAGCCTCTGGGGTAGGAGCCCTGTGTTTCTTCTTTGCTAGCAAAGTAATACAACATTTCCCTTTTCTCAAAACAGAGTCCTCATTATTGTATTGGCATCAGGGACAAGAATAGAGCTTTTGTAAGGGTCCGGCGAAGCGTCGGAGAAATAGACCACCAAGTGACCACTCATGCAATTGGCAGAAGGGGATTTATTGATCTAGCATGCTAGGGCTCCGTGCCCACTCAAGAAGGGAGAACAGCCCAGAGCCCCGAGCAGGGGCTGAGCACTGCTTAAGTACACTTTTTTGGGGGAGGGCGGGGATTTTACATACATCACAGTCTCCTTTAACAAATCATCATACACCGCGGGAAAATCAAACAACAATTCCTAAACATGATTAGTTCATTTATTGGCGGGAACAGGTCGGGTGGGGGTGATAGGTCAGTTCTAAACGGGGTACACATTCGAACTGATTGGTCCAGGCCCTGCAATGCCTACGTGCAAGATCATACAGAGCCCTGAGTTATTAGACAACCAAGCGGTCAGGGGGAATATTTACTGGGCGGTTCCAAGCATTGTCTTAACAGCTACAGGAATTTCAGGTTTTGCATGTAGCATAGAAACCTAACAATACCTAATCCTTTACATTTTAACTCAGGCCTTGCAGCTTAGAAACTTTACAATGCCCGGTCTTTTACACTTTAACTTTTACACTAACTTCAATTTCTTTTACCCTTACACTTTTGGTTACCAAAGGAGACAGAAAGCCTAGGACTTCACTTCATTTTGGTTGAAGTCCTCTGATTCCCCCAGCTTCAAACAACTTTGTCTCTGCATTATTATTCATTTGCTGGTTGCAAGGTTCAGCTATGTGTCTCTTCTGCATTCCAACTTTATTGGGGATCCCAGAGAATTTTCAAGAAAGGTCCACCCAGGTCCCCCTCTTGACTTTCAACTGACAGCAGTATGACATCAGACTTTCAAGTCTCCACTGCCATGACAACTCTAGGTTACTTTGGTTTATGCTGAGCAGTTCTAATTTTGGGGGGGACAGGGGGATACTGGATATTGAACTCAGGGGCACTGGACCACTTAGCCACATCCCCAGTCCAATTTTGTACTTTTTTAATATTTATTTTTTAGTTTTGTGTGGACACAATATCTTTGTTTATGTGGTGCTGAGGATTGAACCCAGTGCCTCATGCATGCTAGGCGACTCTACCTCTGAGCCACTACCACAGCCCCCCAATTTTGTACTTTATTTAGAGACAGGATCTCACTGAGTTAGTGCCTTGCTGTTGCTGAGGCTGGCTTTGAACTCATGATCCTCCTTCCTCAGCCTCTGGAGCAGCTGGGATTACAGGATTGTGCCACCACACCCAGCTAGTGACCAGTTCTAATTTGACCCATGCTGACTGGTTCTGAACCATAAATACTTACAGATTTTCTGGTCTGGAGGAATTATCCTTATATCCCTGAGTTTCAGGATCTGGTTTGTGAAAATGGTCACAAAATTCTCCCCCTTCATGGTAACTTGAGTTTCTCTTATCAATGTTATTCAGGGCCTGCATTTCTGCTGCAGATAACAGGTAGTTTGTTGAGGAATGTGACATATCCTGTCCACTTAGGCCAGGTGGGGGCTGCAGGTGATTTGCTTCTTGGAAAAGAAAGCACATGGGGGTTAGCACATTGGGCCCAGTTTATGGAATTATACCCTGAACCTCATGTTCCCACCGCTCACATTTGTCTGACCCTATATCCATGAGAGTAAACCAAAGCTTTATTGACAGAGAATATCTGCCAGGCTGCCTTTCTACAAGGTGCAGTAGCCTGCTGAAAAAACTTCTTATATAGTCATGTAAGATGAAGTAGCTATAAAATAACCCATCTGGTCCTCTGATTGTAACTTGGTGTCTTTGTTGTGGTTTCAGTAGTTAGAAACTCTATGAGGCTGATTAATGAGGTCATGCCGGGGTGGGCTTCTTAACATGGTGAGTGCTGATTTTCAAAATGGAGTTACTTTGTCTTAAGGTCCTAAAATCAAAAACCTTAAGGTCCTAAACATTTTTTTTTTTGGGGGGGGGGAGGGCTCTTTATACTGAGATGATGAAATTACAAAGGATATTTTTAAAGTTTTTTAAAAGTTATATTCTATTAGTCCTATTATTAGAGGGGAGAAATATGAGGATCATGGAAATGAAGCAAGAATTAAAAAGACAGGCCTAGTCGGTGTAGATAGGTAATTGGGTCAGATCACGAAAATGGAGACCACCCCTGGGAGGTTGGAATGTAATGCCTCCAGAGCCCTTGGATTATCAAGATTACCTGCTTATACTGTCCCTACCACAGATTGTTAATGAACACCCCCAGAGCAGACAGGGAGCTGCTAATTAATGCCCCCTGGGCTGTTACCTGCCTGGATCACTCTATTTGGCCCTTCCTCCCACTTCTCACCTTTTGGCCATCACACAGGTATCTCCTAAGCAAGAAGGAGAGAGATAAGGGGGAAGAAGACAGGAGAACAAAGAAAACCTAAGATGTATAAAAGGGGTAAGATGCTCCCATTTCTTGGGATACCAGGACAACAGCTATGGCCTGTTTCTCTCTCCTGGAAGAAGTCTGTGTCACTGTTTTTTAAATAAAATTTGCTTTCTACCCTTGCCTCTGCATGCTTCTCTTCTGTTCAAATTTAAACATTTGAGGAAGCAGAACTCGGTGACTGGTGGTATCAGGTATACGAGATTAAGAGAATAATTCTATAAAATGAGCCCACTATACCGACCCCCACATGCTTTCTTTGCGAAAAAGCAATTTGCCTGCATCCCTGACTGGCCTAAGTGGCAGGCTATGTCACATTTTCCAGCAAACAATCTGTTATCTACAAGGAAATCCAGGACAGGAAACATTAAGAGGACTCCAAGTTACTTTGAATGGAGAGACCATTTGAATGGAGAGACCCTTTTAATTTGTGAGAGTGTATGGTTAAGAATCCAATTAGAATAATTCAGCATGGGCCAAGGTGACCTACAGTTGTCATGGCAGTGGAGACAAGTACGAGGTCACCCTGTTATCAATCAAAAGTGGATCTGGTGGGACTCTCTAGGAATTTCCCTGGGATCTTCAATAAAACTGTGGACTGCAGGAGAGGCAGCTGTTCCTCTCCTCTCTGAAAGGACCCACTTTTTCCCTTGAGAGTGTCCCCTTTTCTATCCCTTCAATAAACTCATTTCCATTACTTTGAGTGACACATCTGAAACCTTTCTGACTTGATGGCAAGAATCAGAGTTTGAATAGGGGTTGGGAGGGAAAGGGAGGGGGCTGTTAGACCAGGACACAAGAAAAGACCACTGACTCCTGTTAGGTCGGTGGTGGCGACTTAGAACAAAGCAGCCCGCATGGGGAAAAGAACATCAATCAGATGCAGGAGGAAATGCCTATCAATCAGCCAGATCTCCTGACTAATGCCTGTCAATCAGCAGGACCCCCTCACCAATCCTGGAGTTCAGCCAACTCCCCTGACCAACTCCAAGGGGGCAAGAGACCCTAGGAACACCTTTTCCTGTCCTGAGCCCTTCCCTTCCTGCTGTAAGCCCCATAAAAGTCCAGTCCAGTCGAGCTTCCAAGCAGTTTCTCCTCAGACCCTTCTCCTGTCCTCTCTGTGGGTCTGATCGAGTTCCCGCGGGGAGTGATAACTCAATAAAGCCTGTTCAGCGGCCCTTTTAAATCTGCCTCCTTTGGTCGCTGCCCGCCCAGCTTGATCTGACAATTCTGATTAAAATCGAGTTGCCTCTGTTTCTTAGATCCCAGTTCTGAAAGACTATGAACCTGATGCTTTAAAAACATTGTGCTGCTGAAGTGCATCATATAAGAATTAAGAGCAACATAAATTTTAAACAAAATCACTTAATTTGGATTGTCCATGCCTTCCTCCGCTGAAAATATTTATTATATACGGTATTCCAGGGCTTCTCAGGGAACTGGCTAGATCCTTCTGCGAGTGGATGAGTTTCCTCCACAGCTGAGCGCCCGGGCTTATTAATACTACTCCTTGAAGGCCTCGCCCCACCACCGGGCATGGCTGTAGGGTCCACTGGGTGACCAAAAAGTCCTGCTGCATCACAGCTGAACTCATGAAAAAGCACGCCCCATACTCAGGTACACTTCGGTACCCCAACACCACTAGCGCCTTCCCAAGGGAGGCCGACCTTCGCTTCCGGTCCTGCCTCACTTCCGCCTTGCGAGCGGTGCCAGACTTCCGGCTTCCGGTCTGGGCGAGTTCCGCTTCCGGCCCAGCGGCCCGCGCTCGCCCCAATGGCGGCAGCCCCGGCTCGGCGGGTGGAGCTGGGCTTCGCGGAGCCGGCGCCGGCGTGGCGACTGCGCAGCGAGCAGTTCCCCAGCAAGGTGGGCGGGCGCCCGGCGTGGCTGGGCGAGGCCGCGCTGCCCGGGCCTGCGGCGCTGGGCTGCGCGCGCTGCGGCCGGCCGCTCGCCTTCCTGCTGCAGGTGTACGCGCCGCTGCCGGGCCGCGCCGACGCCTTCCACCGCTGCCTCTTCCTCTTCTGCTGCCGCGAGCCGCCTTGTTGCGCCGGCCTACGAGGTGCGGCGGGGCCCACGCGCGAGTGGCGATCGCGGTCCGTGCTGGCTTCACTCAGCTCCGCTGTCTGTACCCGACGAAATGCCGTCTCGAGTTTTAAATGCTCGTTCGTTTTCATTTTTGATTTCTGTCTAGGAAATAAGCTCCCTAAGAGCAAAAACTTAAATTCTCCAGCTATAAATGAATGCCTTTCTATAAATAAGTAAATCATTTTACAAGGCATATGGCATAGAGACTCATATGTTTGGATTGCTGTTTTGTGTCGCTGGACGTTTTTATACCTTTTCTCTTTATTCTTAGTTTTTAGGAATCAGCTACCCAGGAAAAATGAGTTTTACTCCTATGAGCCACCATCTGAGAACCCTTCCCCAGAAACAGAATCTGTGTGTCTCCAACTTAGGTCGGGCGCTCATCTCTGCAGGGTTTGTGGCTGTTTAGGCCCTAAAACGTGTTCCAGATGCCACCAAGCACACTATTGCAGTAAGGAGCATCAGACGCTAGACTGGAGGTTGGGGCACAAGCAGGCTTGTACCCAAGGTAAGTCCTTTTTTTTCTTTTTTAATCTCGGCTGTTTCTTAGTTTCATCCAACACAAATATTTTATTTCCAGGTTAAATTGGAAAACAGAGTACAGTTCAAAAACTTCATTGCTGGTAATAGGAATGTTTTCATAATAGTGACAGTAAAGTCTTCATCAATGTTGTGTGACCAGCCTTGCTCTAATCACAATCTGTGATCCTAATCTAAAATACCAGCACTACATATACCAAAATTTAGTAGGGAAAACTGTTACTATGCAAAACATAATATAGTCACACATTATTTCAGTTAACAACAGGCAACCTGCAACAGTGATCCCTTAAGTCTACAGGAGCTTAAAACTTTGCTTAGTGGTCAACACAAGACTCCTGTGTTTGGGGTGATGCTGGTGTAAATATGCCTACTGTGCTTCCTGTTGTGTAACAGCATTGCAGTGATCATGTACAGTACAGACTGCTTGATAACAAGTAACTTGTTTATGAGTTTACTTCTTATTGTCTTACAGCACACTCCTATTTAAAAAAGCAACTTACCATAAAACAGTATGCTGAGTTAGGCCAGCAGTAGCCTCATGTTCTTATGTTGTCATGACTTTTGACGCATGATGAGGCTGTCAGCCAACTGACCTGCCCACCCAGGTCTGTGAGCACATCCTGTCCTGGCTTAACAATGAAATCACTCAAGGACATGAGGCGATACTTTAGAAATGGAAAATTTATAGATTGTCTTCAAAACCAAATAGTTACTTATGATGTTGTTGATATTATTTGTCTTAGATCATTTGGACCATACAGTTCCAGACCACAACTTCCTTTTTCCTGAATTCGAAATTGTCATAGAAACAGAGGAGGAGATTGTGCCTGAAGTTGTGGAAAAGGAAGAAGACTTTGAGATCACAGGAAGCATGGGTAAGGAGTCGGCATCGGCACTCATGATAAAATATGGTAGAAAGGGCTTAGTACATCAAGAAAAGTGGTCCTGAGAGGAATGGACTCTATTTGGAGACCATAAGCTGTCGAGTGAAAATACCCTTCCTGTACCTCCCTGGCGTGTGTCAGGTACATTCTGCTTCCTAAAAAACCTGGGAAGTGAGTCAGGTACCACAACAAAACCCTGGAATCCTAACTGCTTGGAAGGCTGAGGCAGGAAGACTGCAAGTTCAAGGATAGGCTCAGCAACTTAATGAGACCCTGTCTCAAAAAATAAAAAGGGCTGGGGATGTAGCTCAGTGGTAGAGCACCCCTGGGTTTAATCCCCGATACTACAAAAAAAAAAACAAAAAAAAAAACAAGATGCTGGGTGCTGGAAATTTGGAGGGTTATCTTGGGTTCCAGATCTGTCCCCCAGATGGAAATAGTAAGAGTACCTGGTGGTGTTTGGTTTCTCTTTCATCTTGCCAGCTTTATATGCATGCTCGTATCAGCTTCTCTGGAGTTCATTCTCTGGGTAGTGTCTGTGCTGATGAGTACCCAGCACTTACTCAGCTGAGGGGCCATCTGTACACATTCTCAATGACATCCTGAAGCTGTCCCACATTGCTAGTGAGGAAGTTGAGGTTCTAAGTATAACATGCTCTGGTCAAAATAACTGATAGGTGTTATCATTCAAGCTGGAGCCTAGTTATTGCCAACTCTAAAACCTGAACTCTTATCCACTTCAACAGGATTACAGAAACTAAGAATGTCAGCTTTCTGGTTTACAGTTCAGTCAGCTCATACAGTCCAGAACACTTATTGAGAGTCCTGCTTTGTGCTTTGCTTCTGCTGTTGAATACAGTGGGAAGCAGCAACCTCCAATGTTGGGTTGTCTTGTGGAGGAGCCCAGATACTGCTTAGGGAGGTCAGGTTCCCTGTGACGACCAAAGCAAGTTCAGGTGCTGTGATGATGGTATAGAAAAATGCGGGGGTGGGGGTGCATCTATTTGTATGTGTGTTCATTATTGCTTGTGGTTTTAGATATGTTAAACGTTGAGTCATGAAAATGCTTTCCTTCAGAAAAATCGGAGGAGTGGAAGGCAAAGGCTGGGCTTGGCATCTTGTTTCATGTAGCTGCCACTATGTAAGGATCGCATGTAAGGATTTATATAACCATGAAGTGAAACTAAATTTTAAAAGTAGTCACTAATCAAAAATAAATGAATTAGTCTCATAACCACTCTAAATCTATTCTAAATTACTTAGAAACATAGTGGGGTTTTTGTTGTTGTTGTTGTTTCGGTACTGTTGAGCCGAGAGCCTCATGTGTGCTACTCAAGTGCTTTATCACTGTGTTACATTCCTGGGAAACAGTGATTCAGCAGTACCTCCCTGATAGGATCTACCTCAATAGAGAAAAGACAGCTTTGGTGTTACTGTTACTTTGAGATGGTTGTGTATTAGGGAATAAAGCAGGTGAGTCACCATGTTGGTCTGCTGGGCATGGAAGAAAGATGGAAAATGTAAGATTAAATGAACACCCTGTAGGTCTGACTTTATACTGAAAGCATGGCTGTGAATTTCTGATTCATCTAATCTGCTACAAAGGCTTAGAAATAAAACAATCAACTCAGTAGCAGTGGGAAGTCTTTTTTTTTTTTTTTTTTAATATGTTTTTGGTTGTTGGTGAACCTTTATTTATTTTTATGTGGTGCTGAGAATCAAACCCAGTGCCTATACATGCTAGGCAAACACTCTACAACTGAGCTATGACCCCAGCCCAGCAATAGGCATTCTTGATGCATAAATACTATTTCTCTTTAAAACAAACACTAGTTTCTTTGGACAAGTGGTTGGTTCCAGAATAGGGGAAAAAAGCACAAGATGCTAGGTTCAAATAGTGTTGGAACAGTCTTCCAGAGATCAAGGAAACAAAGACTAATAGGGCCGTGTCAGAACTCAAGAACTAATGTGAAAAGGCTCCAAGTGGCACAGGATAATCTGAACATCCATAAGAATACTAACCAGTATTAAAACACTTTGCATGGCTCAAGAATGATACTTTAAAAAATAATCATCCAAGTTGAAATTTGTAAATAAAGGAAAATTTGTGTCTTTCAAGGGGGTGTGTAGCTGAAATATTCACAGTGAGATGTCTGGAGTTCACTTCAGGGTAACTGAGTTGGGGCCTTGAAATTTTAGTTGGCGCTGATTCACTATAGTATTTCTAATTTTACACATGTTCAACATTTTCCATAACAAAATGCAAAAAAAGAAAAGAAAAAAGTGTCCCATGGGGGGATGTCATCCTGAACCTAGGTTTGGAGTTCCTTAGTGGAAGAGGTTGGCAGGAAGCCAGAGGGAACATCAAAATGTCATATAAGGTCACACTGAAGCTTTCTCCTACACTGGATATAGGCTGCTCTGGTTCCTCCTTCCATCTTGGCTGTGCCAGTGAGTACCACTAATTAGTGCTCTTGTGATTTTATTAGTGGTGAAGTGTTATTTCAGCCTATGTAAGTCAATATTGATCAGAGTGTTTTGATACATTACAGACAAAAGGTTGCCTTGGCAGCCACCAGTCTCAGGGTGGTTGGAATCCCAAGAATGAATGTGCAACAGAAAGTGGGTGTTGGGTGACTGAGTGTGTGTGCAAGGAGACTTGAGTGAGAGTAGCCATAAGGAGGGTGCACGTTGGTTAGGTGTCCTGTGTGTTGGGCAGGGTGCTTGGCTTGGGTCTATAATTTGGGAGCGGGCATAGTAATGATGTACTACTACATGAAGCACCTAGAAATAAGCACCAATTTTAATGTGTGAGTTAACAGGGAAAGCTGTTGGTTAGAACTGGGTTCCCTTCACATGTGTGAATTGTTGCCATGTGGGATTTTTCCTGTTTCTGTAAAGTCACTGTGTTGTTTTTCCAGATGAAGCTCTTGAGGAAGAACTGGATTCCATGGCAAAGCATGAATCCAGGGAAGATAACATTTTCCAGAAGTTCAAAGCTCAGATAGCCCTTGAACCAGAGCAGGTAAAAGAGAATTTATAACTCTTGACTTTATTTTTCTGTTTTGTTTGGTGAGTGTGGTCCCTGAGAAGTGACTCCTAAGCTAGTCTCTTCCTTCAAAGTCCACAGACATCTTGCTACTGTGGTATTTGCACAGATGGGGCACATAGAAAGGTGCTTTTGCAGTTATTCTCCACTTCACATTCCTGAACTCCTAAAGGTATACTGTTTATCACACAGGATTCATTTTCTAAAGAAAGCATCAGCCATGAGAGATGCAGTATTGCCTAAGATACATGACATTTAGGCACCACTGGCTGTGCGCACGCGCGCACACACACACAGCCAATTCTCCAACAGATAAACACACTTTCCTCTATAACTTCCTTCACCACAAATACATACCTAAGATAACTCAGCTATATTCCTAAAAACCAGTCACAGAATCAATTTATAGGAAGGATTTGACCTTGACCTATGTTCCAAACGCCAAGAAGGTGGTTTTTAGCACTGATTCTGCTTTTAACAAGATAGCCACTTGATTGTTTTCGGAAGCTGATTTCAATGAGTTTATTATAGGCGCCGTGTTTCACTAGGTATTTGTCCTTTTGGAAATGCTTCAAGTTCCTTACATATGTTTGAAGGTAAGTACCAACTCAGGCAGCATTTTGTATAGGAAGGGGAGTCACAAGCTTTAGTCCCTTCACAATGTACTTCCTAGATGAGGATTCTGATGGGCTAGGAAGAGAAGGCACCATGTAGGAAAGTAGCTGAAGTAGTGGCTTTGAGCCAGTTGAGGCAGCATTACCGTGCACACCGTGAACTGCCTTTCAGGTCAGAGCCACATCACACACTGTGGAGCCTGTGCAGCCCGCTAGATGATGAATCAGAAATTTCTACCACTGGAAACCATTGGGTGAGGTGTTCCTGTTTGAATGTGGTCCTTGCTGATTTTAGATTCTCAGATACGGCAGGGGTACTGAGCCCATCTGGATTTCTGGTGAAAACATCCCTCAAGAGGAGGATATTCCCAACTGTCCCTGTGGTGCCAAGAGAATATTTGAATTCCAGGTATGGCCTTAAATCAGGACTATTTTAGTGTATAATCACCCTGCTTTGTTTTTGAACATTTAGAAACTTTACCAAAATAGCAGGTGCCCATGGGACAGTAGTAATACAGAAAGTGCCCTGTGGTGATGGGAACAGATGGTGTTCTGTGCCACGAGGCATCTTACTCACCCCCATGTCACTCTCCTCAGGTCATGCCACAGCTCCTGAACCACCTCAAGGCAGACAGACTGGGCAAGAGTGTTGACTGGGGTATCCTGGCTGTCTTCACCTGCGCCGAGAACTGTAGCTTGGGCACTGGCTACACAGAGGAATTTGTATGGAAGCAGGATGTAACAGATACACCTTAAAGACATCTTCAAGCCCTAAAAAAGGTTACCAACATCTTACGGCCTTGCAATTCCATCTCTGATTTTATCCCTAAGAAAGTAACTGTACCAGAGATGGAGGAACAAAGATGTGGCTTGGGGCCTTGTTTAGTGTTAAATATTTCTAAAACAGTGTCCAGTAATGGAATTACGTGAATTTGGGTACATCCAAGTGAAAGGTTATTAATGATACACACTTAACACGGATACCAAATGAGCGGGAGGTCTAAATTAATACCAAGAGACCATTATATCATGGTGTTTTTGTAAAAATATTTATACATGTATATGTACAAAAATATAAATTTGAATATAAATATAAAGCTGCACACCAACTATGAACTGGTTTATCTATGAACAGTGGGACTAAGTGAAATAGTCTTTTTACTGTGTACTATTCTTGTATAATAAAATGGGTTTTGTGCCTTTTTAAGTCAAACCATCTCTCTCAGAGCACTTTTCCACCTGTAATTTGCAAAGGCAAAGAGAGAGTTAGGTAAAATTCTAATGGACTTATTGTTTGAGGACAGAACACATTGAGATACCCAGGAACTAAAGCAGCAACAGAGCCTGAAAGGAAAGTGGCACCATCCAGGACTGACCTTTGTCAGCCAGGGGCCCTGCCTACAGAGAAGACAGACGCCATGGTCTGCCTTCATCAAGGAACGGGACAGAGTGAGTGCCTGCCAGGGAGCAGCCTGAAGGCAAGCAAAGGTTGGCTTCAGGTGGGCCACGTTCTTTCTGGTCCATCTGTAGACAAGTAGCCAAGGCTGGTTTCATGCTCACATTCCTTTTAGCCCAGAGTGGCTTCAGAGGGACAGGGTGGTGGTGGCTTTCAAGCTGGGTGCTCAGTAGGCAACAGCCACCACATGCTGCTAGAGGTTATTGTCATCAGCTAGTGGCAAAAGTTGGTCACAGCACTTGGTGGGAAAGGCAATGGTTTGGGTCTTTGTGTCCCAAAAGAAATAATTACTTAGAATGTGTTAGGGTCTAAATGGTAAGAGCTGCTATTTAGGGACATGAAAAATTAATAATACCACATAAAAATTTTGAATATGTTAAGCAACTTCATTGCCACTCACAACGTCGAGACATTTGAAAACACCGTAAAATAAGCACATCGCCACATTGCCATGCTCCTACAGGTGTCAATCACTGCCATCTGACATACTGCTCGTGTTCGAGTGCCCTGCCTGGCACACACACTGCCTACTCACTCTAGAGAGTAACGTGCTCCACTCTGCCTTTTTATCTCAGATATCTTAGTGCTGGTGTAACAATCCTTTGACAGTTTCAGAGATGTTTTGGGGAGTCACACAGGCTGTGGGTGAAGTAAATGAGCAATTGAAAGATACTGGACATAACAGCATAAACTCATCAGGCTGAGGCAGGAGGAACAAAGTTCAAAGCCAGTCTCTGCAACATCAAGGTGCTAAGCAACTCTCTAATGAAGTACAAGATAGGGCTGGGGATGTGGCTCAGTGATTGAGTGCCCAAATTTAATCCTCAGTACCCACCCCCCCACCACCACCAAATTCTACCTAATAAATGAAAGATTAAAATTCCATCATTTTGCAACCCACTAATGAATTATAGCCCTAGGAATTACACAGCTGTATCTGTAGTAAATATATGCTAAACTAGAGCATGAGTCTACAGCTGGCAAAACCCAGACAAGCGCTACAAGCCTCAAAACCAGTACACTAGAAGAGGTAGAATGTAAAAGCAGCTACTTTAAATGTACATCTAGCCAGTGTTAGTGTCTAGGAGTTTCTGTGGACTCTGGTTAGACAAGTGTGAGGAGTGCCTCTGGGCCACTTTGCACCTTAAGCTGAGCATTCATACAAGATTTTAAATCTCAAGAGTCCCCGGCCTCTTGAGATAAGCACTGAAAAAATAAAATTATTATTTAAAGACCACTGCATGTCTAGAACATGTGGTGCAACCAACTACAGAATCAACAACACTACTAAGTTTAGTAATATGACTACTACTTTTTAAACTTTTCATGAAAAAATTTCACTAAGAACTCAACAGAAACCATAATGTATTTAGGAATTGAGGAATTGTGAAATGTTGAAGCCATGTATGAAAAAATCATGGAACTTTTGCTCAAGAAAGAACAGAGAGGATCTACTTATAGGGAGAGGCATTGCTTTCTTGGACAGATAATCTTTCCAAATGTGCCATGTGACAGAAATACAAGCAAAGGGTATTCTATACACTGCTGCCTTTGGGCTGTAACCTGGTATGACCTATCAATACTAAGAATGTATAAATGACCTTCAACATGGCAGTTCTCATCTGAGAGTTTTGTCCAAAACAGGGGCACTCCCTGAAGCCCTGTGTATAGCAGTGAGCTCTGGACACAACAGGAATGACCATGGTGCAACTAATGCAGGTTGGAGATGTGTTCGATAGACTGTAAAGGCACAAAACCAAACACATACCTTAATATATTTCTCCAAAAGTGGTATCATAGCACCCTCAAAGGACAGACTTGCAGAGGGCAAGGCTTGGAATATAGCCAGTAATCTGGTGGTTACCCTGGAGAAACAGGCAGAGGGGCAAGGAAGGACAGACGTCTCTTTGATTACATTCCTTGAGCTGTGTGTGATGTATTTTTTACTATACATACTCTGGTTTACAAAAGGGAAAAAAAATAATATGGAATGAAACCCAAGAACTTATGTCCATCTGAAAAGAACAAATAAAAGCCTTCACTAGCTGGACGTGGTGTCACCCCACTGGCTCAGGAGGCTGCAGCAGGAATATCACAAGTTCAAGGTCAGCCCTAGCAACCTAGCAAGACCCTGTCTCAAAATGAAAAATAAAAAGCCCTCAATAGAAACGACGCACCAAGCACCAGCCCCACGCCTGGAGGATGAGGCCTTCTGCCCCTCAGCAGCTTTGTGAGCTGAGGTGGGTCCTGCAGGAGGCAGCCCCACCTCTAGAGGAGGAACAGGCCTGAAGAACTGTGGGTTTCGGGCCCTGTGCACAGGAATGCACTGCCAAGTGCAGACAGAGGCAGATGCCAAAGCTATCTCAGGAACTGTGTCTAAAGTAGGTGTTTTAAACAGTGAGACCACATGACTCTTGGAAGGTATCATTCATAACAACAATTAACACTCTTATAAACTGCATTTATTATACAGAGTACTCTGAAGAAAGAAAAATATGTACAGCCATTTGTTTTCATTAATACATCTGTTCTGTCCTGCAATACTGGAAAGGCGGAATGTGTCTGGCACAAAAAATAACCCCTAAAGTTACAAATTAGAAAAACAACACTTTTAAAAAAGATTTTTTACTTTTCTGGTAGAAATATAAAAACTGTGGTTTATGGGGGCAGGGGAATTAAACAAATAAGAAGTCCAATTGTACAGGTGGCTTTAACACTTCTGCCCCTTACACCAACCAACTTGCCAACAGCAGTGTTTGAAATCTAAATATAAATAAATGGGCAGCGTCACCCACATAGCAGCACAGGCGTGCAACTCTCAGCAGTGCTGCGGGAGTCCCAGAGCAGCAGCAGCCCCTCCCACATCCTGCAGAGGGCCACAGAAGATCGGCCTGGTGTAGCAGGCTGCACCTGAAAGAGCCCAGGAACAGTACCAAGCTGATTCGCTGAAAAGCAAGTGGGTGGGGCAAGTATGGTGGTGGCAGCCACTACGTAGTCTTCCTGAATCCCTTCAGAATGGGGTAGATGTTCTCAAACGCTTCATAAATTTCTGCTCTGACTTTAGCACCTACAAAGGACATATTGGAGCAGAGAGTGTGAAATGGCATCTCTCAGCAGTGTGAGACAGAAAAATCACTTCCTTAAAACTCCAAGTACCATCCTCTCCAAACCCAGTTAATTAACAGATGCAGACATCAAAACACTACTGGCAGGGTCCCTTGCCGCGGTCCTAAGTTTATTTCTAAAACAATATGCACTGTTAGGCAATGCAGCTAGAGATGACGCCAGGCACAAGGCAGGCAGGGAGAACCACTGTCACCTCGATGGCTGCCTCCAGCCAGGTTCTTCTCAGTCTTCCTTTGCTGCCTCAAAATGGTATTGTTTACAAGCCTCAGTGTCACAAGTCACAGGGCTAACACCAATAACAAAAGATAGGCATCCTGTCCCTTCCCTGCTGGAGGCTGCTGCGCTTCCCCTCCAAAGGGTCCACACGCTTCTTGGCAGCGTTAGGGTGGGAGAAAGAGGAATAGGGAAAAGGCAACTGCTAAGGACCACCAGAAAAGCCACCCTCGAAACTCACATTTGCAGACACTGCTCCCCACTGCACCTTACCTGTTAACACAACCTTCCCAGAAACAAAGATAAGGAGCACAATTCTGGGTTTGATCATTCTGTAGATTAATCCAGGAAATAGCTCTGGCTCATAACTAGAAGGAAAATGGCAGAAACAAGTTAGAAGTCGTGAGCTTCCTATTTCCAGATGGAATGAGGACTGAATAAGGGAAACATTGAATAGGTGCACAAACCAGGCCATAGAGCCTTCTCAGGGCAAGGCCACCGTGTCCAACATGGAAGCCCAGCTGGCCATCCTCCTGTGCCTGTCCCTTTCTACTGAATTGGATTTTCTGTGTAAGACAGGAGCTGTGTCTATATTCTGCTCCCTGATCTGTGTCCACATTCATCCTGGGCAAGCTATCTCCACTTACTACAGTCTCTACGTACTTCTAGGAGCTGAGAGTGACAACTGCCTTTGATGGTATCTCGCCTCCTTAAGCTGTCAGTACTGGCCAGGCAGCTTGAGAAGGAACCTACCCGTAGCAACGCTGGCTACCCAATGAACTTGGTCTCTCACATTTGCTGCTTCAGAGAATGAAAGTAGGATGTCACCCTGTGTCTGTGTGTTGAGTGGCATAGTGGGGAGTTTCCCAGGTGAAAAGTGAAACTGTACCAGGGATAAAAGTGGCATGTGCCCCTGGGGCACAAGGGGCGGAGCACGAGTGGTGTGGTGGTCAATGGAGAAGAGAAGATGATAGCAGGGAGATGAGGCTGCATGATGGGCTGCCCCATGAGTCTGCAGCAGCAAGCAGCAGGGACAACTAGAGGTGACTCTGCTCGTAGGTCTGATGTAATGCTGATGAAAAGAAGAGCATCAAATTGCAGGAAAAGCAACACAAGGGACTGTAGCTCCAATCCATGTGTTTAAAATGTATTGACTGAGCAACAAAATGATAAGGACACACAAGTGGAATACAGTTCATTCCATTAAAGCGACTGAGTCATCTCAGTAACGTGGGAGGTTAAGAGGCAGATGCAGCAGCAGCAGTCCAGTACTACACCTGTGTTCACACACTACCTCGGCATGGACTTCCCCTGAACCAGGTTTAAGTGGCTTATGAATGAACTCTGGCCGAAGGCTACCCAGCACACCTTAGACTTACCTGCTGAACTGCTGGTGAGTGAGCACGAGGCCTTCCAGCCTTATGGGGAACTTCACGTCACAGCTCCCCACCATGTTCTGGATCTTGAAATCTAAGAACTTCGCAGGGAAACCCAACTTCTGCACAACTCTGGCATACTTTCTTGCTGCTAGTCTGGACTGTTCTTCACTAGACAAAGGGGGAAAGCGAGTTATTTGTATTGAAGCCAGCTGCAATAATTATTTAGATGAGTAACACAAAAAGTCCAAATTAGCAAACTAACTAAACCTTTCACTCTCTTCCTAATAGGAGGGAAAGATCAACCCTCATTGACAACATCATCGAGTACTGCTGTGTGCTCACAAACTGCAGGCCTACCAAGCAGTCTTTCCACCAGCCAGACTGCCAGAACTGCTGCGTTCCTGCATTCTGGCCCACAGATTTCTACCATCTGTCTCTCTTAACCCATAGTTCTTCATGAATTTGATAGGCAGAAACTTTTTACATAGGGATTTTTTTCATCAGCAGTTTTGATGTTGCATTATCTTACCCCAAATGCAACTGAACTGCATGGATGAATAAGTGCTGCAACATGTGTCTAAACTCATAATGATGTTAACAAAAGGAAACCAATGCTATCTGAAGTGAGTAGAACCACATGCCAGGTCAACCATAATGTGGTGGCACTGGAAAGTAACCTGCTGAAGTGTGAGCTCAATAACAAGAAGCACGAGACTGTGCGACAGGAGAGGAAACCCTCAGCTACCTCTTGGCTCCTGTGCACACCATTTTCCCAGAGCTGAAGATGAGTGCTGTGGTCCGCGGCTCCCGTATCCTCATGATTACGGCTGCAAATCGCTAAAAGGGTCAGAGAGAAGCATTAGTGGGATCATGCAAACTGTTGGGTTTTGCTGGAACTAGAAAGTGACAAAGAATATCACAACAAATAGGAAAGATCCAGCACATACGATTATCTGTTCTGAATTTCTGTATAGGTCAAGGCAACAGAACAGCCACCATGAGACCAGGACACACCAAGGTCTGCCATGTTCTTTCACACATGCATCCCACCACCAAAGCTAACAGTTACACAAATTGGCTCTGTGTATTCTGCTTTTGTTTTATTGTCTGTTGTTTTGCAGTGCTGGGGATGAAACCCAGGGCCTCGTGCATGCAAAGCAGGCACTGTGCCACCAGGCTACACTCTCAACCCAGTTCTTTATATTCTCAATAAATACCAGAAACTCTTTCTATCTTATATTTGCTGTTTATCATGACTAGCATCTGTAAATATAAATTTTCAGTTTATATACAAACTTTTAGTCAAATAAACTAGTAAGCCTTTTCTACTTCCTCAGAGGATTAATAAGCCAGATTATAAGTATATCAATATGTAATGAAGTATGATCCTATTTAGAGCTGGCCTTTAAAATACTAAAATATTAAACAATTATAAATGCAAAGTGAGGGAAAAAAAGTTTTTTACTTTTATTTATGTTTTAAACATGTTGGCTCTTTTAAAACATTTTCTTGCTAACATTTTAATTCACAGGGAAAATCTTTCAATGGTGGATTGAGTTAATGGCCTCAGTTACAAAAAACAAGGCAAAACTTTATTTTCAAATAGCTTAAATTTTTAATATATGATATTTTCTCTTTTGGTACTAGGGATTGGGGATGGAATCCAGGGGCCTTCTATCCCTAGTCCTTTGTATTTTTTATTTTGAGACAAGGTCTCACTACATTCCTCACGCTGGTCTTAAATTTGGCGATTCTCCTGCCTACACTTCCCAAGTAGCTGGAATTATAGGTGTGACCATCGCACCATCGTATCAGCTGAACTATGATATTTAATTTAATTAATAATTAAATAAGAAAAGATCCTTAATATTTCTAATCAAGATGACTCCCTCCCCAGACTGAACCCAATGCCTCAGGCATGACAACACTCTACCATTGAGCTATGCTCCCAACCCCCAAGATAACTCACTGACAAATTAGATTGCTTTCACATTTTTGATTTGAAACTATTGCATCTTCCCCCCCTCCTTACCCACAAAAATGCTAGCAGTATGTTCTAGATCGCATGACTCCCAAGATAAGCCCAATTACTAAAAATCTCCTAAGTTTCCTCTATATTTTTAATTGGTCAAATAACTACCAGCACTTCCTTAGAGATTGAAAAATGATGCACTGAACTCAGACTGCGATGAGCCAAGACTCCTGGGTGTGATGCAGACTCACAGACAGGATAATGGTGGACGGTGCCTCAGCTTAGCTCCCTGAGAGCTTAAGACCAAGAACAAACATCTTCGGCTACTGGACAATTTAAGACAAAGACACAAATTCCTGTCACTGAACAGTTTTTATCTCATTTTTTATGTTATAACTAGCAGAAATGATTGAGACCATATGAGGTACAATAGTCAAGGAGATATTTTTGTTTTCTTATTAAGGAAACTCTTAGTTTATTAATATTTGTTTTAATTCAACATAATATGTACATATATATTTACCTATTATATACCTTATTTTTTTTTTTAAAATTCTTTGCTCAATTCAAAATAAAATTGTTAGATCCCTTTTACACCTAAACAACTCTGTATTTTCCTAAATGGACACTTAGAAGACCCAAAGAGGTTAAAATAATTAGGCATATTTAATGTATTCCATATTTTAAGTAGCCCAACTTACTTTAGTTAACTAAAACACCCCCAAATCTGAAAACTGTTTTCTTTCTTGACTGATTAGCACAGCAACTCTAACCTCCACCTATGCCTGGTTTCTCACTGTACTAAAGGTCCAGGTCTCGTGATGCCTTGGGGATTTGGGACGCACCCAAGTCCAACAGGCTGTTCACCCACAGTGCATATCTGCCACAGCTGGCAACAACCCTCATCTGCCTCCTGTGCACAGATCATGTCCAACTCACCAAGGTCTGGCTCAGGATCGTCAGTGTTACAGTGTTGTGAAAGCAACACACATTCAGCATACACCACAGTTCATACACAGTACAATACTATCAAGCTGCTGGGTGACAGCAGCCGGCAGTGTCCCCAAGCCATGCCATGGTGAGGGAAACTGGTAGGGCAGTCATCTGAGGGCAGGTGGTGGGCCCAGGAGGAGATGAAATGCCCTCACAAGCTAAGGAACATCTGCACTAGGAAGTACTACTCCTAGTAGTACTAAACCCAGCTCCTTTATTTCCCTTCTGCTGCCTGAAAAGGGGTTGACCATCAAAATAAACTAAACTCTTCTCATTCATAGACCTACAATTATCAAGATGCAACTATGTTGATACAGTATAACTTCTGCATATGAAGGTCTTCTAAGGTAGTCATCTTATTAGATGTTCACAAATAAATAGCTGCATTAATTATAGATGAGCCTTTGCAGTATGTCATCATAAAAATAAAATGTTACCCCAATTAAAGTACTAAAAACCAAGGACTTGCTGGAGGAAACCAGACTTCTGAGCAGTCTCCGGAGAACACAAGCCTACATTCGAACTCTCGCTCTCAGTTTTGCTGCCAAGGCATCAAAAAGATAATCTGTCTGCTACTCTTCCAGGTTGCAGGGGAGAAGCAGAAAGTCAGTCATCATCTTTGCTTTATATTTTATCTAAATATATTTTATATTTAGATAAAATATATTTTATATTTTATCTAAATATCTCAAAATGGCCAATCTCATCCAAAATTACCTTTGAATTTCACTTATACATGTGTAGAAAAACACAGAAGCCGCCACCACCACCGCAAAAAAATAAACAAAACACAGTGAAAGAATTTGAACTTTAGAAGTCCAACAAATTATCAAAACTGACTGGCTAACAGAGGTCCAGGTAAGAGAACTTTCCCAACTTTTCACTGCCCAACACGAGAATCTGCATAGAAGTTTGTTCACCTTGTATTATTTGGATAAATACTTCAACTAACCAATTAAAAAAAAAAAAAAAGCTGGTTAGCTGAAAGTAACCAAGCTGATTTGTGGTGGTTATTCTCCTGGTTAGCTTTCAGCCAATTAGATGAAAAGTCAGTTCCACATGTTTACTGATAGTTACGACTGCCCTGCCCTTTGCTACCTCCTAACAACCAGCTGCTTAGATGCTGCTACACAGCTACTGCTTCAAGACATTTGACCAAGGAAATCACAGGAGAAAGCACAATACCCAAGTTCAACCTGCACTGGGAGTTTGACCCAAAGGTGAGAGCTGAGGCACACCCGCAAGGTGTTCGCGAACTGGGCAAACTCAGGTGGGCAGTGACTCCAGCAGACACGCATAACTCAGGCAAACTCCCAGGGCTTCTTGAGATTCCAAGAGTAACTCAATGTGTCCTCTGCTGATCTGCCCAGCTGCACAGGACAGAACAGCTTGACTGGCCAGCATCTATCTAAGGATGAAAAACAGAGACCACATTTTAAAACAGTCCCAGTTTCTCCTTCTCCTCTCTCTTCTTTTCCTTACATAAAATTTGTTTTCTTTTGTTAGAGGCATTCGATTCAACACTGGTCTCCCAGGCACCTGATGCCTCTCTGGTGTACATGCTCCACTGCAGGGCCCTGCTTCTGCAGGACGAGCTCCTCCACCTGGGCACTTCCTTCCAACGACCACTCATTTCTTAATGCAAAGGTTTACTATGTTAGAAAATACTTCCACTGGCACAGTAATCTCTCCTATAATCTCTTTACTACAAAAAAATGTAAAAGTGATAGAAGGTAGAAGACCATATCACAATAAGCTGTCTTATCCTTATCAACTTCATAACTACCAACTCTTGGCTTACCTTGCTTCATTCACACCCCTCCCACAGGATTAATGAAGGAAACACACCCCTGCCATTCTTAATGGTTCATAATGTAATAAATGGGTTCAGATTCTGCTCTCCAGCTTCAAGTGGTCCGACAAGTGTATATAAACTTGCTTCACCTTGCACAATGCTAAATCCCAAGGGACTCACATTTAGTAGCTACAAAGTAAAATGTGAATAGAATGAAGTTCTTCTATTCACTGAACCTCAAAGATTAAAATGATACCTTTTTCCCTAGAGCCTCATTTTGCTGCTATCAAGAACCTTAAGCACAACACAAACTTTCTGACCCAGAGACAACTATAAGGAAATTCAGTTTTACCAAACAGTTTGAAATATGTGAAAATGCTCTGACCTTGGGGTTATATTCAGCATTTCGGGCACGAAGTGCAATGGTCTTCAGGTCAAGTTTACAACCAAGATTTACTGTGGAGACTATATTTCTGGAAGAAATGTGAAAAGAAAACATGATGATTTAGATTATTTAACTTTTACACAATGAAGTATTAAATGCTGATCTAGGAGCCTTGTTCTTTCACTAGGCTTTAAGGAACTGCTGACCCTGTTGAGTGTCTATCAAGGATCCCGTGGCATGCTGAGCACCTCACACACTGGCCTCAGAACTCACAGCACACCTGCAGGCAGCAACTGCCAACACCACACATTCAGATAAAGAATGGAGGCTCCAAGTGTGGAGCCAGAACCTGAGCCTGTTTCCACCCCTGCCCTCCACTTACCCCTTCCTGGGCTTGCTCCCAGAGAGCCAGCACCAGCCCATCCTAAATCACTATCTGTAATGAAAACAGGCAGGCAAGGACTTCCTCAGTCCTTTACAAGTAAGTTATCTTTTGGAAGGACAAGAATTCAGTTTCTTTAGCAAAGCAAAGGGGCCTGATTTCTCTTCTGATTAGCCTCAGTAAATCAAGATAACCTTCTGGGACTGAGGAACCCTTTCCACTTTTTAGCATTCTTGAATTGTTTCATGAATAACTCACAAAAGAATAAAGACAGGTTTGAAAATCAACTTCATTAGAAACTTAAATAAAAAGGGAAACATGGCAAACTCAGAATTTTTGTTCCATATTTTCCTGGATTTGAAAGCATATAGACTTGAAACGACCAACGCCAAGGACCTAGATCTTTACCACCTAAGAATTCTGATTCCAGAGTTCAGGAAGGAGAGATCCTACCTTCACTGCTGAAGTGAAAAAGCATCACTGTCAGAAAGCAGTTCTCTTGAAACAGGATGGCTCATAATTTACTAAGAGGAGGACAGTAGTCTTTTCTGATACACACTCCTAAAGCCAGTTAGGCTGTGTTTTCATTTCTACATGAGATCTTCCTTCCTGTCACTCTGCGTACAGACCTGCCTTCAACATGAATCCATCTACAAACTGTGTCAAATAAACTTTGGTGCATCTATCACAAATTCAGTCATATCTTTAGTAAATGCATTCTTATATGTTTTCATTAAATATTTACCTCAACTCTTCACAAACCTACAACATTTAGATGAATAGGGCTCTGAATAGACAGTGAAAACTAAGTAACTTAGCTGACTGAATGTCCAGGGAATGTCAGAAACCACTGCCCACCCCCAACAGGTGTCATTTATGACTTCAGCCACAGAGCAATCCTGAATGCCCATGGAAGTCAACAGCATTCAGGACTATGGGAGCAACAAGGAGAAAAGTGAGCTAGCAGGGCTTATCACTCCAAAGCCACAAAAATAAACATGATTTTGTTTTTAAAACTCTGTGGGGTCAAAAAGATAGAGAACCCAGATTTAGGACTTTGGGTAACAGGCAGGATCTATGATCACACACTACTTAGTTCCAAAAATGATCAGCAATGGCTTACAAATGACAGTCATGCAAGAAACAAAATGACTAAGCACAGAAAGACCATCAGCTCTGAACAGCACAGGGAGGGGGCAGCCATACAAGAGCGTCTGCAGCTTATAGCTCATTAGCTTCCTAAGGGTAAAATCACATGCTTCTCATGGACAACTACCTGGAAATATCTGCCTGGTTTTCAGGAAAAGGAAATTTTTCCTGCCTCCCTATCCTATTACATATAGGACCCACTACAAGTTAGAAAAACTCACTTAGGACAATAATAGTCATTCTCACCTTATGGGAAGACCACAGATTTGTATGCATTCCTCATAATAAAATGGAAAACTGGGACCACCAGGACCTTGCTGAACTGTGCCTAACCCACAGTGCATCAGCTGGAGGTGACGTCTACAACAGCGACCACACCCAGCTCCAGTGTGAGGCCCACGTGCAGGACAAGGGCAGTTTCTGAGGATGCTAGGAAAGCCCTCCATGGGGGGTGGAGGGTGCTGACTCAGGCCACTTCCGCTCTCTTTGGGGAGCACAGCACCACTGTGCAACTACTGGAGACACAGACATAGCACAGTCAAAGGCTCCTCCACCTTAGGGCAACACAACACAGATTACTCACTGCAGCTGCGGCACAATCCCAGAGCTCTCCGAGGCTGGTGTGGCAGGAGTGATGGGAGTCATGGGGGTCATCGGGGAGGGATACAGGGGTGTGGTGCCCGGCAAGGGTGCGGTGGTAAGAGTCTGTGAGTGGAACAGCTGTGGGGTCTGTCCGGAGGCCCCCTGTGCCGGCTGCTGGGGTGCTGACTGCTGTGCTGCTGCGGCCACCACCTGTTGCTGCTGCTGCTGCTGCTGCTGCTGCTGTTGTTGTTGCTGTTGCTGCTGCTGCTGCTGTCTCTGCTGTTCTTCCAAAATAGACAGGCTGTTGGTGTTCTGAATAGGCTGGGGCGTCAGGCCCGTGCCATAAGGCATCATGGGACTAAAAATGGGGATCCCAGGCGTCATGGCACCCTGCAGAGAACAAAGGTGGGGAGAGTCAGGCTGCTATTGCTGAGCATCTGTGAGCCTTCCTGGTGGAGCTGCAGGAGACCATGAAGCAAGATGCTCTAGAAGAGTGAATTGCCAAGTATCACAGGGACGGTACTTGCTATTCTCAGAAATGTGCTTTCTTCCTTAATCCTGGACATAGCAGACCAGAGCTCAGGACTTGGAAACCACTTACCACAAGAGAACCTGAGAGAGTGGCTTAACCTTTGTAGCATGACCAGGGAATAATAATGGTCTCAATTATTAGACAGCTGTACCCTTATTTAAAATGCCACTCCAGCACCTGGGGAGCATCTGTTCCCCTATGCATGATCAATTATAGTCATTTTAGAGGCATCCACATGACAGGCACACACACCAGAGACACTGAAGTATTTACTAAGCAACCACAGAGAGGATTACTAGAACACTACTCAAAGGTTGATCATTTGCCCTCCCCAAAATGTGAATCAGTACAATCTATCAAATACTATCAGTCTGCTTTTCTACAATGCTGCCAAACTTTTCCAGATATTGTTACATTTATTAATTTATCTGTCTTTCAACAACCCTTTGAGAAAGGGAGAGGAAAGCAGATGAGAACAGAGAAGGTGAGCGACTTACCCAGGTCTAAGCCTCAAAGGCAGATGAGCCACAACTATCACTTATTTCTATAAAAATGTTGACTTGAAAAAAACCCAGGCTACAGACCTTTAAAACACTGAGACCCAGCCCAGTGCTTTCCCCTCACCAAGATCCATAGAGCCTACAAAGCTGGGAACAGCTTTCCAAACCTCAACATCATGTGCAACCCTATGTTTTTCTGTGGAGAGGGTCCACAGGTTTTATTAGATTATCAAATACATGTGAGACCCAAAATGAGAATTCTTTCTCATTTCCACCACTTATTTGCCAAAAAGCATAAAATAAATTGTTTTAGCAACATAATGGCAAGAAGAGAATACCAGAAGAGGGCAAGATCTATACTGTGGCCTTAACAGTACAAGTGTAATTCTACTGCAACTATCACTTATTTCTATAAAAATGCTGATTTGAAAAAAACCCAGGCTATAGACCTTTAAAACACTGAGACTAACTAAGGCTTAGAAGGTCTGTCTTACTTTTAGTCATATGTAAAAGTTAACATGAAACAAACAGACATACTTGTAAGGCTAAATCTGTAAGTAGAAAATCTTATGACTTCGGTAAACAAAGTTTTCTTGGGACACAAAAGTGATAATAAAGAAAAATTGGTAAATTGTACTTCAGAAAGAATGGAAGACACACAGAATACATGGAGTTCTTACAGCTCAATAAAAGATAACAAAAAACTCATAAAAAAAAAAATAGTCAACAAGGTGGAGCAATGGTGCAGCCTATAATCCCAGCCTCTTGGGAGGCTGAGGCAGGAAGATCCCAAGTTCAAAGCCTGCTTCAGCAACTTAGTTAGAAGTGTCTCATAAAAAAAACTAAAAGGATTGGGGATGTAGCTCAGTGGTAGGCTGGGCAACAGACATTCTATAAATAAAGGTATATAACTGGCCAATGAATACTTGACATGATGCTCAAGATTATTAGTCTTCAGGAAAATACATTAAAAACACAATTCTTCCCACAGCTGGGGGTCTGCAGGACAGTGCTTCAGCACACATCTGGCAGCCTCTGAGTAAAAGTGGACACCCGCATACATGGCCACACAATGCGACTCTGAGTATCTACTCAAGATAGATAAAAAGTGTACACGAACGTTTATGGCACCTTAACACCCCAAGCTGGAAACAACCAGACGGCAGCAACTAGCAAAGAGACAAGGGTGCTGCTTGGCAATAAAAAGGGATCATTCTCCAATACACAAACCATACACCGGGCAAAGAAAAGAGACCAACCAAAGAGACATACTGTGTGACTTCACTTATGTGAGATTTTAGAGCATCTGGGCTTTGTTGCCCCTGGACTGGGCAACAAATATGATGGACATTTTATAAATAAAGATATGTAACTGTCCAATGAATTTTTGACATGATGCTCAAGATTATTAGTCATCAGGAAAACACATTAAAACCCCAATGAAATCAGTGCAGAACAATCAGTGCAGAACTGATCTTCAGCACTGAAGTGTAGACTGAGCAGCAACCAGGGCTGAGGAGCAGGAACAAGGGGGCAAAGAGGCAGAGTTTAGGATCAACAAAAAACTAGGAAATAATTTGGTGAGGGTGACCCTATAATCATTTGTAATATCCTCAGTGTTCATCAAAAGACAAAGTGTTTATACACAAACGTGTAATTCGGCTTCCAAACAGACTCCCAAGTAAAACACTCCTCTGCCCATTCAAAGCCTAACAGAACTTTTCACAATCCAAAGGAAGTTGCCAACAAAAACACAAGTTCATTTTCAGCAACAGTGGTTAAATGGCCCTGGGACTGTGCTGTCCCTTGTGGGCACATGCGCCCCACCCCCTACCTGCTGCATTACCTGGGGGGAGGCCAAGCCCTGGGCATACGGTGGCAGGCTGCTGTTCTGATCCATGATGCGCACTTTCTTCAGCACCGGATCTGTTTCTGGAGCATTCCCAGCACACTCTTCTTGGCAACTTCTCAATGCTCTGGGTTACTCTCACACACGGAAAAACAGCGATGCTCCTTGGAAAAGTTTCAAGCTTAATGTTAAGAGCACAGGTAACCTATCTTGTCTTATAACCACAGTTCTGTGGTTACCCAAACACAAATAAGAAAACCCAAACAACACAAGCCTACAGCCTTTTGTTCTATTACATGATTAATTTAAATAGTCTGACAGTACTCAAAATTAAGGCGTCATAACCAACATTAAAAACTAATGAGGAAAAACACCTCAAAAAAAATTGCTAAGCAAACTGTCCTATCAGAGCAGAACATTTATGAAGCATTATATATATATATAGCAAGTGTAGTATATAGTGTATACAGAAGCCAAGTTCAAGTTCAGGTTTTTAAATATTTTACCCAATTTTATATCCTCCACAATGTCTTGGGCATAAGATCCAATAAATATTGAATTAAACCCAATATTTTTTAGGGTCTTTTTTTGAGCTCCAACTTTAATCAAAGATTGTAGAAATTGTGTGATACATCAATAAGTAAAAATACTGTATTGATATCAATGTCATAATCTTAACTAGGCCTCACTCATGACAGGGAAGCACTCTCAATTGAGCTACATTCCCAGTCTTAAGGCCTGTTTAGATGGGTCCACAAATTATCCAGTGTTGCTGTGAGAACTGATTGAATCAACACAGAATTGACTGAGTTAACAGATCAAAATATACCTAGTTATACAGTAAGCCCAGATCAAATGTTAACTACTACTACAATAATTCAGTCCAAACATTTATTATCATCTAATAAGATATTCTTGCACAGAACTTATAGGTCTCAAAGCTGTATGTCCAAAGACCCATGTAATGGTCAATTTGAATTGTCAAATTGATTGGCTTAAGAGATGCCAAGTATTGAGAGGACTATGGGTATGTCAGTGAGGGTATGTCTAGGAATGACTGGCATGTGAGACAGCCAACTGAAATGGACATCCTCCCTAAGCATGGGCACCACCAACCAATAGGATGATGGCTTAGATGGAATAAAAGTTTGAAGAACAAGGAATCACCAAGATATGCAGCTTGATTCTTGAATGGATTTTTGATTGCTGCTGTGTTCTGCTAGTGATTACCCATAAGCCTTCATTCTTGAGGTAAACTGTTCATTCCTCTTGTTCTGGGGCTTCAGCCTCTTGGACTGTGTGGCTACTGGTTCTTCCAGCTCTCCGGCATTGTGGACTACTCAGCTTCTGATTGTGTGAACCAACCTAATAAGTCCCTTTTTTATAATTATACTTCCTGTTGATTCTTTTCCTCTAGAGAACCCTAATACAACCCACATTCACTTAAAGTATGTGCTGGTACAGAGTAGGCACTAAGATACTTGCTAAAGCAATGAAAAATTGGACCCCCAAAGACTACTTATCCTACAAACTCATCATTGAAAAATCAAACCAAAGAAAGCAAGCAAGAGCTCTACTTCTGAAAATGAATACATCAGAGGTATAAGAAAATTATGTTTTCTGAACTTGTTACTTTATCACAATAAAAGTGCTGCATAAAAGATATGAAGATGGAGGGGACATAGGCCCTGGCATCAAATAGTTCAACATGAAGAGCATTCAAATAAGTACTATAAAAACTTGGTAAGCCCAGCAGAGAGTATGCCCCAAGTAAGCTAAGATTCTTGAGAGCAGAAACCAGCACATTATGTCTTTGAAATCTCTACACCTATCTCTGTGCCTCGCATATGGTGCGTAATTGTGAATGAATGCACGTCCTCTGTGGAACAGAAGACAACATACGCTAAAATCAAGTACTCTGAAGAGAGGTCATTGTTTTCACAAAGCAGGGATCATCTAACTGTGTCAAGCAAGGCAAGTAGAACTTTTCAGTCAAAAGAAATGAAGCACAGAGACAAAGATAGAAAAGCATGCAGGGTGCCAGTGACAAGGTTAGCATTAGGCTGTATGGAATGTCACTGCAGGAGATGAAACAGCAGCCATAGGAGGTCACGGTACCAGAGTTTAGATGTTATTACATACACAAGCCGTAAGAACAGTTAAAGGATTTCAAAGTGCAGCATGAATTAGATCTACTTTGCAAATGTGGATAAATCTGAGAAGAGAAAACTGAAGACTGAAAATTCACTTCAAGGAGTCAGTGCTATGGTTGAGTAGAGAGGTAATGAAAGCAGAATTTAAAGCCCTACATATGATGCACTTATCTGGAACCTCTGCTGTCTCCAGACCACTTTTTGCGCACTAAAAGTCTCCAGAAGGAACGGTTTGGTTACTGAAGGTTAGGGACCTGAGCAAACTATTCAGAGCTCACCTCTCAACAATGGTCTCACAGACCATTTTTCCTCACCTGTACCATACAATCGCACGTTGAGTACTGCACTTATCCTTGGAAAGGAATGTCATCTTCTCATGGAAACCGGAGTATTAAATTAGGTATTTCTGGGAAGTGATCAAATTAATTCTGCCCAGCCTTCTAGCTATGTCTGGATAACTCAGACATAAATCTCTTCCCAAACAAGCCTACCCCATGTTTTCAGAACCCATGCTGGCTTGATGGAGACCTTGTGAAGAAAGTGGCGGGTTTCTTTCTCAAGCTCCTCCGCGCTCAAGTCGCGGGCTTCTGACCAGATGTTTAGGTCTGGAGCATGACTTCGTGACAAACCCACCCTGTGGCAGCAAAGCGGGCGGGCTCCGGCAGGTGAATCTGCCCTCCAGCCGGCGGCAGCCGAGGGCAGGCAGACCTGCGTCCTCGATGCTCCCTGCACCCCGCGCTCGGCCCACGGATAGCAGCAGAGCCGGTACTGGGCTGCAGCCGCGGCCGAGCGGCCGGTACAGGCGGGAGGGGCGGCAGCACGAGCGGAGCAACGGCCCCGCGGGCCTGCGCGCCCGCCCGGCGAGACGCCCGTCGCGGCCCTCGGGCCTCGCTGTCGGGGTTGCCTTCGCCCAAGCCCTCGGGAAGGAGGGAAAGCTGAGCGGGCTGTTACCTGAGTCACTGCAGAGACAACGACGCACCTCCGGAAACGAAGTTCAGCCGCAGGTGGCCCCGGCGCCCGCCACGGCGACCCTGGCCGACCCCACTGAACTCCCGGCGCGCGTTGATAATGTCACTTCCGCCAGTCCCCTCTTCGGCTTCAGCGGGTTGCGCGCGCGGCGTCAACGGGAGGCGTGGGAGTCGGTCACTTCCGTCGTTTCTCCGGGCGTTTGACGAAAGGGAAACGCCGGGCGGAGCTCTTTGGTAGTTCCGGGACAGGGCGGGGCGAGGCGGGATCGTCTTGCCAGAGCCTTTTCTAATTGGTCCTTGCCGGACGCGGGAAGAATACTGGTTTTTAAATGTTGGATTTCTTTCTTTCTTTTCTTTTTTTTAACCAACTAGTGGTGAACCCTTTCGAAGCTAACAACTCCAACTCGGGGTCTTCTGCAAAGTTGGATAATCATAATCATAGAACTTGCCCGTTAGAGTTGTGAGTTTGCGTGAATCATGAGCAGTGCGTGGCATACGGCACTCACGTGTTCCTTACCAAGTTCGCAAATGCGAGCTTGCAGAATGAGGAAAAACAGAAGCAGAAGGCGTGTACTCACACATTCATTTATATTTTAATTCTACTACTACCACCTCGTGCGCTCCTCACTCTTTGTGGTTGTCACAAGATATGATCTATTGCTACTTCCTGATACTAGGCATATTCATATATTATGTTGTTTGCTTATCTGCTTCCTTTGTATTTCTAATTATCAGTAAGGTTGTGTGTTCTTTAAGAGTGAGAAATTGTACTTAAAATAAGTACCCAGGACAGAACCTGGCACCTTGTTAACCTGTGGAGGACTGGAATAAGCACAATGGTGATCTTCTCGGGCCATGACCATTAAGGAAAATCCTTTGTTTTATTATATGGTAAAACATGAGAAAAGGTTTTAAACAAGTACTTTTTAAAAAAAAATCTTTGGGTAGGGCGCCGTGGTGCACGCCTGTTATCACAGCGTCTTGGGAGGCTGAGACAGAATCGCGGGTTCAAAGCCAGCCTCAGCAAAAGCGAAGCACTAAGCAACTGAGACCCTGTCTCTAAATAAAATACAGAATAGGGTTGGGGATGTGGCTCAGTGGTCGAGTGCCCCCGAGTTCAATCCCCGGACCCGCCTGGTCCCAAAAAGAAATCTTTCTGGTTCCAGAATTGCATGTGCTTATTAGGTAGTCCATCCTACATTAGTTCATTACTTGCTTGTGGGGTTGCATGTAGGATTGAAAATATAATTTGTATACGTAAGTGCATAAGCACGTGTGCAGAGAATACTACTGGCACGCAACACCCTCCCACACGCCGGCCAAACGGCCCCACCTACTCTGCACGCCAGTGGTGTTGCCCGTACTGTTAGGGTTACGGGGCGCAGGTGTGTCTTTCCTGTGTTTCCCAACTAGCCGAAGTCGCCTCGTTTATTTGGGGTGACATATCTCATTTTATGGTAGCTCCTCGGTTAATCAGTCACTCCGCTTTTCATGGCCTTCAGCTGGTGCGGTCTGAAGCCATTCAGAAAGCTGCGGCCTGACTACGTGTGCATCTGGGGCCGGGTCCTCTACCGCCAAGGGGGCCTTCAAGTTGCCGCTGCTCCATAGTTTGGCCAAATTTTTGGTGTGGCCAGACTCTCAATTTGGCCCGCCAAGAGTGAACTCGAATGTTTTCTTTTTCTGAAGGAAAAAAATTTTAGTCTCATCAGCCCTTGCAAGACAGGCAGCGCGGACCTCCAGGAGCAAGGAGATGCGCCGGGTAGAGGCGCCCGCGGAAGCCGGAAGCGGCGCGACTTCCGGCCGGGCCGCCATCTCGTCGTGAGACAGCACTAGCCGTGCCGCGCGATGTCGTCCGCAGTCTCGCCCTGGGGTTGCGGCGGGCAGCCGGAGATGGAGGCGCTGGGCGCCGCGGGTCCCTGGCGGCTGCGCTTCTCGCCCTACGCCTTCAACGGAGGGTAACGCCCGGCGGCGGCGGGAGCTGTGGGCCTGAGGGCGCGCGGCGGAGCTCTGACTCTTGGGCCCGGGATCGGGGAAAGCTGCGTGTGCTCTCGTGCCGCGCTCGGGGCCTGGTGCTGTCGGAATGCCGGCTGGGTCCTAAGCAGTCCTTTCCCTGGTGGCGTGGGTCTCTTGACGGCCGTTCGCTGTAAATTGAGGCCGCCTTGAGTGTATCAGCCGTTTCTCACTGACGACGGTTCTTGGTTTGGTTTTGCCGCTGGGCACTGGACCCAGGAGCTCTACCGCTGAGCCACACCCCCAGCCCTGTTTATTTTTTGGTATGATCTGCTAAGTTGCCCAGGCTGGCCTCGAACTTTGGATCCTCCTGCCCTAGTCTCCGTAGTCGCTGGGATGACAGGCGTGCAGATGGTTCTTTAGAAAAAAACAAAATACCAATCAGGTCCTTAATTAACTTGAAATATTGAATGTGAGAGTGTTTTAAGACCGTGAAGAATCAGTTTTAGTTTTGGTCATGCTACTGAAGAGCAATGTGGTCTTTGGGTACCTCTTCGTTTCTTTTTTTTTTTTCTTTTGGTGGGGGGCACTGCCAGGGATTGAACTCGGGGGTGGGGGTGCTCGACCACAGAGCCACATCCCCACCCTATTTTGTATTTTATTTAGAGAGGGTCTCCCTGAGTTTGCTTAGCGCCTCCCTGGTTGCTGAAGCTGGTTTTGAACTTGGGGTCCTCATGCCTCAGCCTCCTGAGCCACTGGGATTATAGGTGCCTGGCTACCTTTTCATTTCTTGAACTTAAATTTATTTTTGTTCCTTAGCTACTTAGTATTTCTGGGGAGAATCAAAGACATTTTGTGACTTACCAGCAATGATCATATTCAGTTCTCAGGATCAGTAAATATTAGATGATATTTAGCCCGGTGAGGCTCTTGGAAGTTAAAGACCTTGTGTGAATTGAGTCAGGACTTGAATTCAGAATTCTGTCATCACTGGGTTTGTTTGCTTTTCCATTGCACTCATTAACATGTCATGTGATGATTCATATTATAAAGTGGATTGTCAGACCCATTTTATAATTCATTTTTTTTTTTGTACTCTACACACCAGCCTTTTGCCCCCCTCCCATTTAGAGACAGGCTTTTGCCAAGTTGCTTAGCCTTGCTAAATTGCTGAGGCTGGACTAGAACTTGGGGATCCTTCTGCCTCAACCTCCTGAGCCGCTGGGATTACAGGCATATGCCACTGCTCCCTGCATAAATCCTTGATAATAGAATTTCAGTTCTCATTCACTTTTTTACCCCTTGTCATCCAGTTTAACTTGTAATCCAGTTAAAGCTATTACTCTTCTAAGATTTATAATCTTTTGATTATTACATTGTCACCCATTCTCAATCTTTAGCATGTATTGCGGCTGGCTTTCAGGCAGCCTCTGCTTCTACAAAATGAGGTTTATTTCTATTAATTTTTAGCCTCCAAGTCTGTCCTTAGCAGTCACATGTCCCATACCTGGGAGTATAATTCCCAAGACTTTTTCTCCAGTTCTACTTCTCATAAGTTCCTCAATTCCGTTTGTTTGTTGTTGTTGTTTTCCTGTAAAACATTTATGCCTTGATTTTTCTATTCTCACCATCTGAGGAGAGTAAGCAAAACAAGCTAATTATTCTTTTTAACCACATCACCTCCTTTAGATGTGCGGCATAGTTATGTCATTATTCTGCTTCTGTAATATCATGGATGTCATAATGGGTTTTCCCAGCTCTGCATTTCAGTCCATTTTGTGTGTGTGTGTGTGTGTGTGTTGTTTGGGGTGCATCCCCTTTTCTCCTCTTTACCCTGCTTCCCTCCCATTGCATTACTTGTTCTGGAGCATGTTTCTGTCCCATTTTACATTGTGGTGTTGTCAGAGTAGTCATCAAACCCTTTTGTGCAAATTGAACTTTTTTCATTCTTGCTCAGATAATCTTCACAGTACCTTGCTAAAATTCAAAAAAAATTTTTTTTTTTTTTATAAATCCATAAATCTTTAGCTTGACATTTGGGCCCTTCCACAGCAGGATCCCTGTCCATCATGCAGGAATATGTCTCTCCACTCTCTTGCACTAAAATGGCCACCTGAATGGTTGTTTTCATGTACTATGTAACTATTATCTGTTTCCCTTTGCTTGCTAATCCCTGGAATGCATCCTTTTCTACTTTGAAACTTTGGTGAAAACCTTACTCAGTAAAATAGGACCTCAAGTCTTCTGAGTACTGTATTCTGGAAGGCACTATGCTAGGTGCTGTGACTTTTTATTTTTATTTTTTGTCAGTACTGGGTCTTGCACATGCTCACAAGCACTCTACCACTGAACTACATCCTCAACCCTAGGTGTTCAGTGTGGATTGTTGTCATTTAATTCTCAAAGATACCCTGTAACACAGACACTGCTATTGTCATTAACTTGAACCTGGAGAATTTGTCTAAGGTCACAGAAGTGTTAGGTGACAAGTGAAGGTCTCTGCCTCCAGTAATTCCAGAACCCAGGTGCTTAGTCATCTTACTCTCATTCAAGCATATGCCACTGCAGTCATATCTCACATTGAGTAGAGGAGCAGTGCTGCATAGTCAGTGTTATAAGGGCTTTACAACTGTCAGCTCACTTAACCCTTGCCAATACCCAACAAGACTCTGACTTATAGCTCTGCTGTAAGAACGGAAATTGGGGCCTTGAGAAGCTAAATAACATACCCAGCAGCCTTGTATCTGCTAAGTTGGAGAGCCAGAATTAGGACCCAGGTCTGCTTTTGGAGTTTGCGCTGTAAGCATCTTAGGGGAAATTTGCTCTCTGTCCACTCGTCAGCAAGTACCCAAGTGTCTGCTGTGTGCAAGACATTAGATACTCTTGGCACATGAAGATGCACTGCTCCCTTCTGCTGAACTGAGGTTGTATTGTTGTGACGCTATCTATACCTGGTCCTCATTTCATCATTTTATAATGTCAGGGTTTTTAATCTACAACCTTGCATTAGTAAGGTTTCTGATTTGATGATGATGATAATTCAGTAGCTTTCTCATTTATTCCTGTCAGGGAGCCTTTGCTTGAATTTGGGATGATTAGGGTTTTTTTCAAGACATTTACAGCCAGTCTTT